TATTGAATACTAGAATAGTATTCAATACTAGAATAGTATTCAATACTATTGAATAGTATTGAATACTAGATTGAATAGTATTGAATACTAGAATAGTATTCAATACTAGAATAGTATTGAATACTAGAATAGTATTCAATACTAGAATAGTATTGAATACTAGAATAGTATTGAATACTAGAATAGTATTCAATACTAGAATAGTATTGAATACTAGTAAATACTATTCTAGTATTCAATAGTATTGAATACTATTCTAGTATTGAATACTATTCAATAGTATTGAATACTATTCAATAGTATTGAATACTATTCTAGTATTGAATACTATTCAATAGTATTGAATACTATTCTAGTATTCAATACTATTCTAGTATTCAATACTATTAGTATTCAATACTATTCTAGTATTCAATACTAGAATAGTATTCAATACTAGAATAGTATTGAATACTAGAATAGTATTGAATACTAGAATAGTATTGAATACTAGAATAGTATTCAATACTAGAATAGTATTCAATACTAGAATAGTATTCAATACTAGAATAGTATTCAATACTAGAATAGTATTCAATATTATTCAATACTACATTAGTATTCAATATTATTCAATACTAGAATAGTATTCAATAATACTACTAGAATCTAGTATTAAATACTAGAATAGTATTGTATTCAATACTATTCTAGTATTGAATACTATTCTAGTATTGAATACTATTCTAGTATTCAATACTATTCAATAGTATTCAATACTATTCTAGTATTCAATACTATTCTAGTATTCAATACTAGAATAGTATTGAATAGTATTCATAATATTGAATACTATTCTAGTATTGAATACTATTCTAGTATTCAATACTATTCTAGAATACTATTCTAGTATAATATTGTATTCATAGTATTGAATAGTATTCTAGTATTGAATACTATTCTAGTATTGAATACTATTCTAGTATTCAATACTAGAATAGTATTCAATACTAGAATAGTATTCAATACTAGAATAGTATTCAATACTAGAATAGTATTCAATACTAGAATAGTATTCAATACTAGAATAGTATTCAATACTAGAATAGTATTCAATACTATTCTAGTATTCAATACTATTCTAGTATTCAATACTATTCTAGTATTCAATACTAGAATAGTATTCAAGTATTATTCAATACTAGAATAGTATTCAATACTATTCTAGTATTGAATACTATTCTAGTATTCTAGTATTCAATACTATTGAATAGTATTCAATAATATTGAATACTATTCTAGTATTCAATACTATACTAGTATTCAATACTATTCTAGTATTCAATACTAGAATAGTATTGAATACTATTCTAGTATTGAATACTATTCTAGTATTGAATACTATTCTAGTATTGAATACTATTCTAGTATTGAATACTATTCTAGTATTGAATACTATTCTAGTATTGAATACTATTCTAGTATTGAATACTATTCTAGTATTGAATACTATTCTAGTATTGAATACTATTCTAGTATTGAATACTATTCTAGTATTGAATACTATTCTAGTATTGAATACTATTCTAGTATTGAATACTATTCTAGTATTGAATACTATTCTAGTATTGAATACTATTCTAGTATTGAATACTATTCTAGTATTGAATACTATTCTAGTATTGAATACTATTCTAGTATTCAATACTATTCTAGTAGTATTCTAGTATTCAATATAGTATTCAATACTATTCAAGTATTATACTAGAATAGTATTCAATACTAGAATACTAATACTATTCTAGTATTGAATACTATTCTAGTATTGAATATTCTATATTGAATACTATTCTAGTATTCAATACTATTCTAGTATTGAATACTATTCTAGTATTCAATACTATTCTAGTATTCAATACTATTCTAGTATTCAATACTATTCTAGTATTACTATTCTAGTATTCAATACTATTCTAGTATTCAATACTATTCTAGTATTCAATACTATTCTAGTATTCAATACTAGAATAGTATTCAATACTAGAATAGTATTGAATACTATTCTAGTATTGAATACTATTCTAGTATTCAATACTATTCTAGTATTGAATACTATTCTAGTATTCAATACTATTCTAGTATTCAATACTAGAATAGTATTCAATACTAGAATAGTATTCAATACTAGAATAGTATTCAATATATTGAATAGTATTCAATACTATTCTAGTATTCAATACTAGAATAGTATTCAATACTATTGAATAGTATTCAATACTATTCTAGTATTCAATACTATTCTAGTATTCAATACTATTCTAGTATTGAATACTATTCTAGTATTGAATACTATTCTAGTATTAATACTAGAATAGTATTCAATACTAGAATAGTATTCAATACTATTCTAGTATT